TTATTTAATATTTTTAAAGATTTTTTCTAATAACTTTTGTTTGTATTCTCTTTCCATACCATAGGACAGCATAATCGATTTGCATTTGCTGCCAAACGGTACCAACGATCTCCTGCAATACGGTCGTCTCCTCTTGGACGGCGAATTGCACATAAAAGCACATGAGGACCAGAAAACAAAATTACGTTACGCATTCGTTTTCGATAAAATACTTATTTTGGTGAAGCCGTTGCACACAAAAATGGGCGATATGCAGTATACATACCGTGATTCCCACTATCTCTCCGAATATCGGGTGGAGCAGAGTCATACGCGGCGTACCTTGGGTCGCGATACACGTTTCAAGTGTCAACTGCTGTTGGCGCGCAAATCGGGCAAGACTGCTTTCACGCTCTACTTGAAATCGGAGCCGGAACGTGATAAATGGCGCAAGGCGCTCACAGAGGCAATGTAAGTGAAGTGAGAGTTTGGAATTACAACTAAATTTCTAAATTATTTGTTTTTTTTTTATGCAGGGAAAACTTGGATCCACCTGGCTGCCGTAATACAGATCACAAAATGGAAATTTATACCTTCGATACGGCCACGACATGCAGGCACTGTTCGAAATTCCTTAAAGGACGTATACATCAGGTGAGGATTTGTGTGTAAATTGTATATATGGTTTTAGCTAAAGACAAAAACTTTCATAGTAAATAATTTACATATATATATATATATGCATATACATGTTTATTTCAATTTATATATTATTTTTCATCTATTCTGGAATTCTTATAGGGCTACCGCTGTAAGGTCTGTGAAATTGCCGTACATAAAGGGTGCATTTCGTCGACGGGTCGCTGCAAACAGAATCCTCTAAGCATACCGCCGCCTGTTTGTGATCGTCAGTTGTCGGAGTTCAATTGGTAAAAAAAATTATTAAACAAATTTTCTAAAATATGAATACAAAAATTATTTCATTATTTGTTTTATGCAAAACATTTAATTATTTAACATATTTTCAGGTTTGTCGGCACAATGGACCGCGATACAGCCGCCATACGCTTAGAAAATCGTCGTGTTGGCACATATTTATTGCGTGTGCGGCCTCAAGGTGCATCCAATCCACATGAGACCATGTATGCGCTGAGTTTGAAGTGAGTATTGCCATATTGTCTCACAAATTTTTATAGTTTTTTTATTTTATCTCCATTGCTGTTTGCAGAACCGATGATCATGTTATTAAACACATGAAAATCAACCAAGAACCCGATGGCGAAACAGTGCTCTATTGTCTGTCGTCGCGCCGCCATTTCAAAACTATTGTCGAACTGGTTTCGTACTATGAACGCAACGATTTGGGTGAAAATTTTGCGGGGTGAGTAGAGCATAGCTGTAATTGTAGGGAAAATTTGGATATGCTCAAGGAATTTCTTACATTTCAACACTATAGTAATTATTGTTACTGTTAATTGCTCGAAACAGCAAATGAGCTAAACTGCCTCATTTGTAAAATGCTCCGACGGTATATATATTTATTTTTGTTTTATGTACCAAAATAATTGAATTATTGAAACAAAAAGTAAGGTTAGGTTAGCACATTACTCATTCTAACCCTACTTTTTTCCGTTGTTTTCATGTTATATCTTTTAAACTACTTTAACAACTGTTTTTTTTTCGCAAATCTCTTTTAGTTTGAATCAATCGCTGCAATGGCCCTTCCGCGAAGTGATAGCCACGGCTATTTACGATTTTGAACCGAAAGGCAGCAACCAATTGCATCTTAAGACAGGCGGCCAAGTGCTGGTTATTGGCAAAGATGGCGACAGCAAAGGTTGGTGGCGTGGAAAAATTGGCGATACGGTAAGTTTCACAGTTTAATTCGGTTTTTTTTTAATGAATAGTAGAATTTTGCTTAGAATTTGTAGGATTTTGTGTCCCATATGTAGCATTGATTTATTGAAAGAAATTCTTATTTTACGCTGGGTATTAGTTCATTATTTATTACCCCGTTTTTGAAGTAAATTATCGGTATTTTACTATTATTTATTAAGAAAGAATTTGTACAGAGCTTTTGTGCTATTCGAAAATGTTATATAACAAGAAAAAAAAAACTAGAAACTTTCCACTTAAAAACAGAATATTGGAGAGCTACACATTAAGTTATGTTGGCAAAACTCTCAAACTTATATATAAGCTCAATTTGTCTACAAATTTTTGTAGAGATTTGCAGAAGAGCGTAAGAAACAATTCTTTAGTTCGAAAATATATAGCAAACAGCGGACGAAAGCATTTTTATAGCTTTCAAAATTTGTAAAAAGGCTTGGATTAAAAACTTTGTTGTTTTACTTGCCCAAAGCGGGAACGATAAAGTGACCAAAAGCAATTGTAGTTTCCAATTTCTAGCTTTTGGGGCGGCATTTGACTAAAAGTACGCTATTTATTAATCTTATTTAAATGTTCGCGATTAATCAAAAGTCGAATGAGAAAATTTATATCCGGCAATTTTTACAATATCTTGTCGGTTCGGGAGTCTTACTGCACTAACCAATATTCCTGTGGTGATAATTAGTGCTGTAAAGTGAAAAAAAAAACAATAAATCCTAAAATCAAGAAAAAAATCACTTACGATACCTTCAAAAAAAAAAAAAAAACCAAATGAACTGGGACGTTTGGTTGAAGCCGACTTGATTTTGGTTGAGGGTGCGATCTAATCAATCAAAAAGTAATTACCAGCCTCAAAAAGGTAATTATTTTGAATAGGATTTTTTTGTAATTATAACAAAATAGCTCTTTCTTTAGCCAATTGGAGTCAAATTCGTCATGTCTTCCATGTCGGGGCAACTACAACTACAAGCCACACAAGAAATTCAAACAAAATTGAAGTCGAGAAAGCTGTGAAGAACTTATTCCACATAATGTCAATATGATATCAAGTTTTTTCAACCATGTTGTTGTTGTAGCGGAAGATAGATAAGATAATAGCGACAGAAAACATTCCCAAAATAATTTTGGCAGTGATCGAACAAAATTTTGAATTCTTTACTTTCACGTTTATGGAAACCAGTTTTTCAAGCATCAAGTCAGGTTTTATGTTTTTAATTTCAATAGTAGCGGAATGAAAGAGGATTTTTTTATTTTGAAGTAAGCAACATTCAATGGAGAAGGTATAAGCAGGATTTATTATATTATATTTTAAGTGAGTGATGACAATCGAGGAACTTTTTTTGAAAAGCTTTAATTTAAATTTTCAATTCAATTTAATTTCAATTATATTGATTTTTAATTTTGAATGAGTTA